TTTCAAGTTTTCAGTGACATAGTTTGAACAAAATAATGGTTAGTTAAGGCTTTCATTTTCTCCAACTTTACCTTTTGCTCTGTTGCCCTCCTCTTTTTGATTCGGGCTCAGACTTCTAAATGTTTCTAGTTGTTCATTTTCTTACCTTCTCTGAAATAAAAGAGCATGCCAGATAAGAGGCCCGCTTCCGCACACCTGGGCCGTGACTGTTTCCAGCAAGAAGCACAGGGCCTTGGCAGGAGGGACAGGAACCTGCTGGGCAGACGCTGGTCACTCCTCAGTAGTTCCTGGCGAGGAATGCGCAGCAGAAAACTGTAGCAGTGACTCATCATCGCTTTGCCTGAAGGAGCCGTCCTAGAGCTGGATCTTCTCGTCCTCTTGGGGTTGTCTACATGTTGCTTTTTGGCAGGAACACCCATGAGTACTTGGTCCAGTCAGTTGCAGTCATAACAGGATGAGTGTGTGGTGGGGACATCCCACAGGATGCCAGCAGCTGTCCAGCACAGGTACAGATGCTTATGGTACTCTCCTAGGACCAACAGCCCACCCTGATGGGAAACAGTGGGACTCCAGACATCTCGACATCTGTGACGGTTAATCTTGATTGTCAACTTCATTAGCTAGGAAATGCATAGGAGATGAGTAAAGCACACTTCCGGGTATGTCTCTGGGTCACTGGGGCATGACCGTGGGGACTGTATCTGGTCGTTGGTTCTGTCTTCTCTGGGCTCTTGCTCAGCTGTCTGCTTCTGGCTGCCAAGAGCTGAACAGCTTTTCTCTACCACAGCCTTCCACCATGAAGTTTCTGCTTGGAGCCATAGACTACAGCTGTGAGCCAGAATAAACCTTTCCCCCTTAAATGCAAGTGTCAGACATTTTGTCTCAGCAACAAGATAACGGCCAATACAACATTGTAACGAATCACATGTTTTAACTAAAAAATAAATGAAGTAAAGATTTAGAGGTAATTGTAACGATTTTGACCATAAATATTCATGACCTTTTTCATATGACTTTCATGGTCACTTCAAAGACTTTCAAACTCAAAAGTGCCAAATTGAGTGAATTCTTACCTAGGACTTTTTCATGATGAAAAACTGTATGTCTGTTTTTCATTGACAGGATTTTAATTTCCTGAGCATAAAATGTTTAAGTAATTATATATTTCATGTCAGAAAATATTTTAAGTTAAACATTACAAATATGTATTAAATGTTAGCTTTGTGCAAAACACTGATAGACTTTTTTAGTGGGACCAGAGTTTTTCTACTTTGTTCATTCTCATTAAGCCAGCATCACCCAGACAGGACTCCAGTGATTCAGTGATAAATAGTGAACAGAGATTTTTCTTAAAGGAGCTATCTGGTGTAGTTGGGGAGAAAGACATACAAACATAATCATAAAATAAAAGTACATAACAGGGTACATCAGCTGTGTGTGGTGGTATATGCCTGTAATCCCAAGGCTTGAGGCAGGATGATCATAAGTTCGAGCAATTTAGTGAGACTATCTCAAAATAAATATTTTTTAAAGGGCTGAGGATACAGCTCAGCGAGACACATCAATCAATCAATCGAAAGAACAAGATAAAGGGGCATCTCACAAGCATGGGGCAATCGGGGTAAATGTTCCGAAGGGATTCCACTGGAAGCCAGACCAAATGTGGGTGAGGCTTTGCTGAGGAAAGCATGCTGTCAGCCGGTGGGGCCCGGCATCCGTCCCAGGCGGAGGGCACTACAGTGCGTGATGGAGGAAGAATGGGCTGCAAGGGTATCCTGCTCACCGAGCGTCAGAGTGGCCTCTTCATGAAGGCGCTGCTCCCATTTGGGAGGTCTCCACCCTCACGGACTGATTTCTGCTCAGAGGCCCAGCTCAAGATACTGTTCCTTTGAAATTAAGGTTTTGATGTGTGACGTGGGGAGGCGGGACACCAACATTCAGCCCACTGCAGTTGGGTTTACTACCTGGGAGCCCCTTTTCGCTACACTTGCTTGCTTTGTGAGCAGCAGCGGCTCCAGCCTGTATCTTCCCAGGTGAGGCCCAGTGGAGCAGGGAGCACACTGTCCTGGTGTACACATGGTCCCCGCTGGCTGTAACCGGCTCTGACTGCATCATGTGCCCATCTGTGCGGTGATTACTGCTGTGAGGGACATTCTGGGTACTGCTTGGTCAATCTGGAAAATATCTTCAGCCTCGAAGCCAAGTCAGTTATACACAGATAAACTGGCTCTAAACATTAAAAAAATGGTTAAAATGGCCTCACATATTTGCAATAGTAATTTCTGAGGTGTAAATACAGCCCTCACAAGTAATTTTAAGATGCCTGGCTGGAATGTTTCTGACTGCCTCTCAGCTCTTGCAAGCCCCGTGCAGCAGATCCAACACAGCATTTCTTAGCTGAAAGTAGGGATGCTGGAATCACAAGGGCAGCTGGTCAGGGAGGGCGTGGTGCTCTGAAAGGAAATCACAGTACTGCCACAGACAGAAGCGGAGCTGTCTGGAAGGCAAAGTCAATCAAGTTTGCATTGTATTGTTAAAAGAATTTTTAAACTCTTTTGTATAGTATCTTAGTATAACTTTTTAAAGGTAATGTAATATCCCATTCTATGAAAGTACTGTGGTTTACCTTTTATTGTTGAACACTTAGGTTGGTAGAATTATAAATAATATCTTTATTAAATATATCAATGTTCAGACATTTAGCACAGATTTATTGAGATAATTTGGTTAAGAATAGTCAGTGGTCCAAAGGAATGGACCTTTTAATACTTTTAATGAACATTCTTCAACAGATATACAAAATAGGTTTACCACCTTTTATCACCCCATCTTAAGAAAGCAATGATTTCATTGTACTGTCATTAAGAATAATTTAAAAACAATTGATTGGACATAATTTACATATGATTTCTTTTGCACTTTTTCATATTGCTGAAATTGTGAAAATGTCAATGTTCTTGTGATAGGCATATTTCTTATATTGAATTTTCTTATCATTTTTCACTTTTGTATGTGTGTATTAGTCTGTATGAATGTCTTAGGTTTTTTATCTTCTTATAATTAATTTAATTAAAACATAGCACAATTAATAATGGAAAGTCCAGCACAGAGCACAGCTTGGTAAATGCTGAGGGGAGTGCTTTATACCGAACTCAAATTCTGTGTAATTTAGAGGATCATGGCTGCTCTCGTAGGTAAACGCTAATTCACAGTGAGTTAACGCAACAGAATTTTATTTCTTGCTCACATCAACATCCCATATGCGTGTTCCTAATTAGGCATCTTCCATGAGGTCGCTTCCGGACAAACGCTGTCCTGTGCCACAACTTTCCTTTCCTCTGGGTCTGTGCAGTCATTTCCATTCAGTGGCAGAATGGTGAAAGAGGACAGAGGACAATGTGTGTGAAAGTCTTATAGGTGAGGCTGGCAGGTGCAGCAATCCACAGGCTTACATTCCGCATCTACAACTCTATCCCATGGTTACCTCACTTTGCAAGGGAGAAAGTGGATGTAGATGTGAAGTACCAAGCTTCCAAACCCAACATGAAGAATTCTTTTCATAAAGTCTGATTTTATTCTGTACTACATGAGTATTTTTGGGAAGAAATCACTTATGTTATCTGGATTATTTACAGGATTTAAATATGCAATGGAAAATATTAAATACTGATAAGAAGTACGTAGGTCTTTAATAAACCAGAGAGGTGGGGAAATGATTTTGAGTAGTCATTGAATGGCCTTTAATTTAGACATTGAAGAAAAGAGAGCAGGAATTGTGGGGCAGGATGACTGGCAAGTGTTGGACAGGTGCCATTTGGCCAATGCGTTAGGAAATTAAATGCACAAGACACTGTATAAAGCATGTATAATTAGTACAGTTAATAAGTTTATTGAGTTACTAGAATGACATGTTAGAGTATTCTAATGAAAAGGCTATCTATGGACTGAGAAAAAAATATTTAAATCATATATTTGGTATGAATTAATATCTAAAACTGTTAAAGAACTCTTGAAACTCCATAGCAGAACACCAGTTGAGTTAAAAATTGGGCAAATCTCCTAAATATACATTTCTCCAAAGAAGACAAAAGTGGCCAGCAACTATAGGAAAAGGTGCTGAACGTGATTAGGCCTCAGGGAAATGCTAGTCAAAGCTGCTGTGAGATCCTACCTCACACCCATTGGGATGACTGTTGTCAGAGAGATGCGTGTTGGTGAGAATGTGAAGCAAAGGAAATCATTATACTCTACTGGTGAGAATGTAGATTGGTACAGACATTTTGAAAAGTGGTGTGGAGCCTTCTAAAGAAATGACCCAGATAGCCTTCTTCTGGGTATGAAGTGTATCACAAGGAAAGGAAATCTCAACGCTTATGGATATTGACACTCTCATGTTTACTGCAACATAAAACAATAGCCAAGACATGCCCGATCACAGAATGAGTAGACAAAGTAACTGTGTAAAGCATGTGTTTATTAAGCCTTAGGAGAGGAGATCCTGCCATTTGCCAAAATATGTCTGAACATGGACACGATTTCCCTAAGTGAAATAGCCAGACACAGGAAGAAAAGTATTATATGAACTCACTTGTACATGGAATCTTATTTTTTAAAAAGGCAAATGTACAGAAATAGAGAATAAACCAGTGCTCCTTAGGGGCAGGAGTGAGGAGGAGAGGAATGGGGAGATATAAATAAAAAACATAAAATAGCAAAAGTGTGGGATGAACAAACCGAGAGATCTGATATACAACATGAGCACTGTTGTTGATAATGTTGCACTTGGAATTTTTCCTAAATGAGTATATTTTAGCTGTCCTTGATATACACAGAAAAATGGGTAACCATATGAAATGTCTATGTTAATTTGCTTCACTATAGCAGCCATTTTATTAACTATTTATCTCATAACATCATATTGTATGCCTTAGGTATATGCAATAAAATTTATTTTTAAAATAAGAATATTTTAGCTTTTTTCCTTGTTTCTCCATACACAGGTGATTAAAGTGTACAGTGAAGATGAAACCAGCAGGGCTTTAGAGGTGCCCAGTGACATAACTGCCCGAGATGTCTGCCAGCTGCTGATCCTGAAGAATCATTACATCGATGACCACAGCTGGACGCTTTTTGAGCACCTGCCTCATATAGGTGTAGGTAAGGATGCGAATCACAGGCTTGTATCACTGTTTTTCTGAGCCTTGTAGTATAGATCACGACAGAGATTTTCTTCAGATGTATAAAAATAGACAAAAGAGAATTACAAATAGTTCTTTTTTGTTATTTTTATTTTTGGTTGTTAATGGTTGATAAAGAAAGCATAAAATTGAAACAAGGATGAAATATTGTAAATTTACTACCTCCCCTTGCTTAAGTAGTGATATGTAGGGATTTGGGAACTAAAATAAAGTTCAACGGAAAAAATTTTTGAGATGGCAAGTCACTGTGTTGTATAGGTCATCCTCAAACTCCGGAGCTCAGTCAAGCAATCCTCCTGTCTCAGGCTTCAGAGTTACTAGGGCTCCAGGTGTGTACCACCATGCCCAGTTCATAGAGTTCAAATTGATGGAAAGATAGATTTAATCATAATCTTTGTTACTTTAGTTACTTTTCTCTTCTTGCTGGGACAAAATATCTGATGCCCAAAATTAAGGAAGGAAAGGTTTATTTAGATCACAGTTTGGGCTGGGGCTGTAGCTCAGCAGCATAAGCGCTTACCTGGCAAGGCTGAGGTCATGAGTTTGATTCCCAGTTCCCAAAAAAAAATAAAAAATAACAGTTTGTGGAGGTTTCAGTCCATAACCAGCTGGCTTTAAGGCAGGGTAACATGGTGGAGGGCAACAGTTCATGGTGGCAGAAGACAGCCAAAGCAGCAAGCAAAAGGGGAGGAACAAACCTCTTTTCTTCCCTTTTTGTTGTATGCAGGCTACCCGCCCTAGGGTGGGTGTAACACTCATACTCTGAATCCCAGCACTAGAGAATGAACCAATCACAAATTCTAAAATTCAGCTGTCTTTGAAAAGTCCACCCCCATGACTGCATGAGGCTTTGGGGAGATATCCAGACACAAACCATAACAGTAGTATAATGAAAAGTTCTTGAGAAGTTAATAAAACAAAGTGGCCTCTGGACTACTTTCAGCATTGACTGCAGTGTAGACAAAAACCAGTATCCATTCTGGTGATTTTCCTTGTGGGAATGTACACCCTCAATCTCTCTTGAAAAAAAGAAACAACTCCTCATTTTTAAGGCATAAACATAAACAGTAACGCTTTTAAAAGATTTCACTTTTTTTTTTTGTCAATTTTTTTTTTTTTTGGTACTGGGAATCGAACTCAGGACCTGGTACTTGCTAGGCAGGTGCTTGTGCCACTGAGCTATATCCCCCAGTGTGGTTTTTTTTTTTTTTGGTACTGGGAATCAAACTCAGGACCTTGGACTTGCTAGGCAGGTGCTTGTGCCACTGAGCTATATCCCCCAGTGTGGTTTTTTTTTTTTTTGGTACTGGGAATCAAACTCAGGACCTTGCACTTGCCAGGCAGGTGCTTGTGCCGCTGAGCTATATCCCCGGCCCTAAAATGTTTTAACTGGAAATGCATTTTTATATTAGGAACTGTGGAGATTTTTAAAAATTATTTTAATAAGCTATAAAAAATGAATTACCGTACTGCACTGAGGCAGAGTTTGGAAGAAATTTTATTCTATGCTTTCTTAATTTTATAGATATTCAGAACATATTTTATATTAGCAGATGAAAAAAGAAGGAATTTGTTATGGTCATATCATTTGATTCTTTTGAAATCTGTAATCATGTGATTGCTGTAACAAATTATCATAAACTTAGTGGCTTAAAATAACAGAAATGTGATCTCTCACACTTTCAGAGTTCTGAAAATCACTGTCACTGTGTCAGAATCACGGTGCTGCCAGGGTTGTGGTCCTTCTGGAGGCCTAGGGAAGAATACTGTACATTCCTTGCCTCTTATAACTTCTGGTGGCTGCCAGCATTCCTTGGCTGTCACTACATCACTCTAATCTCTGTCTCCATGGTCAGATGGCCTTCTCTTCTATCTGTGCCAAACCTCCCTCTTTTAAGAGTAATAACATTCCGAACCCTACCAGATAATCCAGGAAAATCTCATTTCAAAGATGCTTAGTTTAACCATAACTGTAGATGTTTCTCCTTCTTTTCCTCTGTCTATTCCTCCTCCTTTTCCTCCTTCCACTTCTTTCTCTCTTCATTCTCCTCTTCCTCCCTCTCCTCCTCCTGCTTCTCTTCCTCCTTTTTTTCATATAAGGTGACATTCATAGATTCTAGGCATAAAGATGTGGTTATCATTGGGGTGTTATTATTCAGCCTGTTGCAAACTCCTTTTCATTTTATGTTAAAAATCTTTTAGTAATAAATCATTAAAATCATTTAAAACAACTCAGTTACTTCCTTCAGTTTATTTGAAGAATTGTGAAGGAATTTTATACCTACTCATAAGAGTCATTCACTTTCTTGCTTAACTGCCAGTATATAAAATTGTCCCTTTGTTTAGTACATTTGTGGACTTACGCCCCAGTGTGATGTTCCAAACTATGGTGAGTTTCAGACGAGAGATTTGCTTTTCTTTTATGAAATAGAATTTTAACAATCGTGTTGGCAGAAGTGTGTTTATAGGAGGATTCATTTTGATAATATTCTGAAAAGTGATATTGTTCCAACTACCTATCTTTTCTGAGCCCTTCAAAGTGTTGCTGGACTTCCAATTTGAGGAATGCTGTCCTAGGAAGTGTCAGTACAGTATGAAGCCTGTGGAAGAGAAGCTAGAGTAGTTTCATGACCTTTAGAGGGACTCAGACCCTGAGCGCCTGCCCACTTGATTCGGACACAACGCAACAGGGCCTGCCGATGAAGGGCTGAGAGGAAACAGTCGTATACGTACTGCCGTAGAAATTCCAAGTTCAGAAGGTACCTTGTACTGGCCAGTGAGACATGCTGTCGCCTAGGGCAGAAAAACCTCAACATACATTTTCTTGGCTGCCATTTATGATTAATTTAATTCCTCCTCATGATAATTAATCTCACAAAGTATGATAATTCTCAATAGAGATCTACCATATTCTATATTATTTCATTTAGTTACAGTAAAAGGATTATAGCTCTTATATAGCATGATATATACTTAGAATATTTTATATACTCTTAAATTTTTCTTTTGGGAGACCTTTAAGAACAGTTTTTGGTTGTAGTCACTGTAATTTATCCCTAATAAATACTTTTAAAGTTCAGTAATAAAAATCTACTGTGTAAATTAAGCAGTAGTTTTCACGCAGGGAACTGCCCATTATATTAAGGAATGGAATGCACAAGTCTTGTAATGTAAAAGCTTAAGATGGAAAATTAATTAGAGCTCCATATTAACTAAATTTTTAGGCATCAAATAATATAAATGTATTTCTTCATTAAAGTGCAGTGGTACCTTGGTACGTGAACTTAATTATTTTCAGGATTCTAGTTGCAAACCAAACTGGACAAGAACTGAATCAAATTTCCACATAGGAAATGCAATACTAAATATGACCATTGAATCTGATTCTGTTCTCAACCAACACAGTTTGTGACCAGAATAGTGGAAAGAATCAAGTTAATGAAGCAAGGTACCACTGTATTTTCTAGAAATTGCTGAAATAAAAAATGTGAGAATCTTATCTCATCTTTTCAGCAACTATGAATTAGACCAAAGGTTATGAGAAAGAATTTTAGTTCCAGAGCTTACTTTGTTTTTTTTTGTTTTTAAACTCAGATAGTATATTTAAACAAAACAGTTATAGACATTAATTCCATCTAATACTGGTCCGTGTTACATCGAGCAGCGTCTAGCTCTTTGTCTACCAATACAGTATAACAAGAGAATAGCCACCCTCGAGGTACTGCAGTCTTCCTCTGCATCAAATGTAAACATGCGTCTTGAAATGTTTTTGTTGTTGCCCTTGTGTTTGGTTTTGAAAAGCTTATATAAACTCTTGTAATATCTATGGAAAACTAATAATGATGCTAAGTAACTTTTTTCATTTTCACATTAAAATAAATAGCGAAAGTAGATTTTGACTTTTTCCCTCCTTCAGTGTGATATATAGTTGGCCAATAGAATCAGCCTCTCATGCTTTCACCTGTAAGTCTACTGTGAGTGCTACTGATAGAAAGAACCAAAGAACAGGCTATTTGCTGAAATTTTGGTGCCACTAATCAGCTCTACATATTGTTCAGGAGATACTCTTGGATGTTTTTGAACAAAAGGATGTCCATGAATAGTATTTAGAAGGGAGTAGTATCTGTTATTTTAAAACACATTTTACAATGTTGGGGCCCAAAACCTTGTGCATGCTAGGCAAGTACTCTACTACTGGGCAACATCCTCAGCCCTACACAGTATTTTAAAATACAAAAATAATTTAGCTCATTGTAAATAACAGAAACAGAGATCAAAAATCAAAGAATTGTCTATAATTTCACAGTACCAATGCCAATTCCTCTTAACATTTTAAAAATGTCTTTAATCAGTTTCTCTATTTGTTGTGGTGGGAGAGCTACACCTTCCCTGGGGCAGATAGTTTGCATACAGTATAAGGGAGGGAAGAGGCTGCTTGCCTCGCTCCTCCCCTTGTGCTGTTGTTGCTTTGCTGTCTTATGCCATCATGAACTATTGCCCTCTGCTATGTGCCACTCTGCCTTGGAGCCAGCCAAGTACAGACTGAAACCTCCACAAAGTGTGAGCTAAATAAATCTTTCCTTCCATAATTTTAGACATCAGGTATTTTGTCTCAGCAAGGACGGAAAAGTAACCAAGACACTATTCTAGCATAATTCTATTTGTACTCATTTTAATATCTCTATTTGTCTTTTGTAGTCTTTTGTGTGTGTGTGTGTGTGTGCGCACTCTAAAAATATATCTTGAGTATTTCTTGTTTTTACCTTTCACATAGAGCCCGCATAAAGTAGAAACTACCCTCTGACTTCTCTGGCCACCTCCCATAAACAATTTAGCATGTATTTATAGATAATTATGTGCAGATTTTTGTACAATTTTATAGTTCCTGGGCATACAGTAAGAACAAAGCAGACAAAAGCCTTGCCCTTCTGAGTTTATGTTCTAGTGGGGAATAGATAA